TTCAGTTGGGAGACAGAAAAGTACATAGTAACTTAATAGGAAAAGACTGTAATGAGTTGTTAAATGTAACATGGGAGTGGGTTAATGAGGGGCTTATGAGTGACAAGTCAAGTAGTTTTAAAGAGGTAAAGAGCAGTTTCTACCCCAGGCCTGAGAGAATGCTTCTTCATACCCAGGAGAACTCTCAACCTGTTGGGGGTTCTTTTGAGTTTCTACTGCTGGAGTGTGCCCTTTAGGGCCTAGAGAGCGCCTTTCAGCAGAGGAGCTCTGTGACAGTGTTGCCTGGGCTCTCTGCCCCAAGACAGGAAAGGCATCCTGGCAGAGGAGTGAGACCCTCACCAACTAAGAGTGCTGTGGACCCAGGAGGTTGTTTTGCTTCTGTTTCAGTGCTCTCTGGTAACATGGACAATACGTTTACTGACAAAGCTTAATACCCCAGACCTGTTTAGTTTGTATTTTGAGATCAACTATCATTAAGTTGCTAAGTTGCCCAGACTAGTTTGAATTTGTGATCCTCCTGTCTCAGCCTCCAGAGTACTGGGATTATATGCCTGGCTTTGGTTAAGCTTTAAGGAACAACTCCCAAATTTTAGTACAGAACCAGAAAACTAATGGAGATGTTGTCTCTTTTATGATTAAGAAATGCCCTAATTGTGAAATTGTTTCTAAAAGCATCGTTTCTTGAACCCCACTGTTATTTCACAGTCAGGAAATCTGAGTCAGAAGGCTACTCTGCTTGTGCTTCTTGTTGTCCTGACCAGTTGTGGGTCTGCGCTGGGCTGCACCAGCTCCAGTGTACTGACCCTCTCAGGTGCTGTCAGTCTCTTGCTCTGGAAGAGCTATGCAGTGAGGTACAGGTCTCCTGTCTTGCTGATAATAGTCATTCTCCAGGTAGGAGGTGATCACACTGTGGCTGGCATTTCCCTAGTGTAAGTGATGTTGAGTTCTGTTTCCTAAACATGTTGATAATTTTTATATTTTGGGAGAAATGTTTACTACCAGTTCAAGAGGACCCCTCTTTTTTTCTTTAATTTTTGTTAGAAAATTTCTCTTTAATTTTTGTTATCGTGAGAAATTGGTACATGGACAGAACATGTCTGAGTTCTTTTAATCCTCTGCCCCCAACACCTTTTGGCCAGCATGAGATTCATTTATTTACTTTTTAAGTCCTTATAAAGTTAATTATCATATACAGCTTAACAACTCCCTACTTTCCTGTTGAGTTGTGTAACTTCCTCTGTACTTGGCCTAAAACTTGTGTAGTCTGTGCTGGCCTCAAGCTCACCATCCCCTTGCCTCAGCATCCCAGGTGCTGATATTGATGCCCAAGTTTTTTAATGTAATGTAATGCAACTTATTTATTTTGATATTGTTGCCTGTGCTGTAGGTATCTTATTAAAAAAGTCATTGTCAATACCAGTATTTTTCCTAGGAGTTTTATGGTTTATGTCTTACTCATAGGTCTTTGATTCATTTAGCATAATGTTTTCAAGGTGGATCCATGTTGTAGATAAAGCAGAACTTTGTTTTGCTTTGTCACTGAATAATATTCATTCTAAATGTATACCACATTTATTTTATCTGTTCATCTCTGGAGGGATATGTAGGTTGTTTGTACTTTTTGTGAATAATTCTGCTATGCACATGAGCATAAAGCATTTTTTAGGGTCCTTTGTTCAGTTATTTTGGGTATACCTAAAAGTGAAATTGTGCATATAAAAATAACCAATTTGGGGCTGGGGATTTAGCTCAGCGGCATAAGCACCTGCCTTGCAAGCAGACAGTTCGATCCCTGGTACCGATAAAAAGGAAAAAGACCAAAAAAAAAAAAAAATAACCAATTTATAAAGGATATAACTGCATGTATGTTTAAGTGTGTAGGATTGATAACTATATTACTAAATGTTGGATCACTAAACAGAACTTTTCGCAGTCTCACTGTTTGATGTCTACTTTGTATGCTTTAATTTTGTGACTTGAACAACTATTTCTAAGATGATAGTGTGTAATTTATCAACTAGTGATTGCTTACTGTTTATTTTTTGAAATTCTGTATTATTTCTACCCTTTTTTCTGTTTTGCTTTTTTTCTCTTTAAATAAAAATTTAAAAACCCAATCAATTTAATAATGAGTAAAGGGCTTTAATATTCTTCAAAGGTAAACAAATGGCTAACAGACATGGGAAAAGATGTTGAACATTTAGTGAATCAAATCAAAGTCACCAGATCCACACTTGCTAGAATTGTTTGAATCCTACAAATAGGAAGTAACAAGTGTTGCAGCTGTGGAGAATTGGGAGTCCTGGCACCTTCCTGGAGGAGGGCAGAATGGGCAATTGCTGTGGGTACTACCCATTGCTTAGTAGTTTGCATTGTAAAGATGGACTGTTGTGTGTGTCTGCTGTTATACTAGTGCAATGAAACCTATACCTATAAGGTATAGGTTTATTTATGAACCTACCAGAATTATCAGTTGGAACCTTTCATACTTGATCCTCAAAAATTGCCACATTGAATTATCAGGGATATTTGTAAAGCCATGAATGTTAATATTTAAGACATAAGGGAATCTAGGCCCCTCCCCAAACCAAACCAAACCAAACCAAACCAAACCAAACCAAACCAAACCAAACCCGAGAAGACGTGAAAGTGCAAGAGTGACTGTTAGAGAACAAAGGAATTGGAAGAAGGAATTTTTTTTTTTTAAAGCTTCCAAAGTACAGAAGGCACTCCAGGGGGATTTAGGATGCATGATTTTGTGCTAATACTGTATACCTATTCTGTCATATCGTCAGGTTTGAAGCTAAAGATTTTTTTTTATTTTGTGACATCAATTAAGTAGTGGTAAAGGGCAGGGAAGTGGCTTTAAAGAAACAAAGAAAAGAGGGCCAAGATTTGCCTTCTCCGGCTGACAGAGGTTTGAGGTTTTATAAAATAGAGAGCAAAGGCAACAGTTGGGATTTTACATAATTCAGGATTATCATAGCTAACAGTATAGGTGATTTTTGGTATGGATTACTGGAGTCATTGATCTCAAGCCTAGTTCTGTAAAGTTCTGGGAATGTATCATCAGTTGAGGAAGTCATTTGGTTTCTATAGTAAGATGCAGCTTTGGCTTTGGAATGAGTGACCTCATCATGGGGTGGTCTGTAAGACTCTGTCCTTCCCAGCATCTGAGGTGAGTGCAGGGCTAGGACAGTGACAGAGCCTTCTGGGCTGCAGTTACAGGGTGTCTGGAATTGTATATAGTAAAAGTTCACAAGTAAATGTTTGTTCTCATACATCTAGAAAATTACTTTTGTTACTCTTTGCTTGTATTCTCAGTCTTGAGGGGGATAAGACAGGCTAGGTAAATTGAGAGCTAATCATCTTGTGGTCTCCACAGTTAACATGCCTACCTGGTGAGCTGAGTGGAGATGCCAGACTTCCACTTGCTTTTACACAGGTCTGGCCTCTAGGTTCCTATTACAAAAGATTTTTTTCTTCCTGTGGATATACAGTGTAATGATTTTTTTTTTTTTTTTTTTTTTTTGAGACGGGGTTTTGCTATGTTGTTTGGGCTGGCCTTGAACTCACTGTGTATCCCAGACTGGCCTCAAACTTGCAGTGATCCCCCTGCCTCAGTCTCCTAAGTGCTAGGATTACAGGAGTGTGCCACCATGCAATTAAATTGAAAATTAAAAAAAAGGTACTTTGATTTTGTAGTCATTTTAAAAAATAATCAAAGAATAGTTAACAGTTTAAAATTTCTCAGTGATTTAAAAAACAATTTCTGTAATTTCTGTACTTCATAAAACATGTTTCTTTTTGTTGAGTTAATGAGAAAACTGAAAGTGCTTGTGTTTTGTTGAAGTTTGTTATCAAGGAAAAACATTCAGAATACTTGTAACTTCTGAATCTATTAAGTGAAATAATTTGACAGCTGCTTTTTCACGTTTTTCTTTACACTAGTATTACTAAACATTTTATGAACACATACCTGTTATATTTTCAGTCATTTCATTTTCTAGTGTTGCTACAACATTGTGCATTATTAGTAAGCATTAGTATATATATTTAAAAGATATTCAGGTTATTTTTATGTGAATAGTTGCAAAGTAGATATGAAGTTATAAAAGTTCTGTGACTTCAGATGTAAGTTTATTTAAAGTATATAATCAGTATTATCCAAAGATGAAAATTTTTACCAAAGTTAAAATGTCAGACAGTAAGTTCACTAAGCACAGGATGCTGTGGTTGCTAGGTCTATTTTATGGAGGCATTTTCACAGGAAGGATGAACTGGCTTCTGAGAACTCTTCACACTGTGACCATGAACTATTGTTTGATTTCAGCATTTTTCTTGTTCCAGGATTAGTGTAACATTATCATAGTTGATTGTAAATGTTTTAATAGTCACATACACTGAAATGACCCAGTAGAAGTACATAGACTCATTTTGTCATTCTCATTCATAGCTCATGGTGATCCTCCTGCCTTAGCCTCCTGAGTGCTAGAATTACAGGCTTGCACCTAATACATGGCTTGCTTGCTCTCTGTCTCTCTGTCTCTCTCTACTAGTCATTTAGAGATGGAGTCTCATACGTACTGGAGGCTGTCTTTGAACTCTCTTTTTAGCCCTACGCTGGCCTTGAACTCATAGCAATCCTTTTGCCTCAGCCTCCTGAGTGCTGTGATTATAGGTATATGTCACCATGCCTGGCTTGTGTCTCTTACTGCAATAAATATTTTAAAATGTAAGCAGTTTCGGGGCTGGGGATTTAGCTCAGCGGCATAAGCGCCTGCCTTACAAGCAGGCAGTCGTGAGTTCAATCCCTGGTACCAATTTATTAAAAAAAAAAAAAAAAAAATTAAAAAAAAAATTAAAAAAAAATGTAAGCAGTTTCCCATGTTATAGTGTGTTTCCTGTAATGAAAGGTTTACTTATATGGTTTTAATAACATTAATATATAGCAAATAGAATTCTATAAGTATTTAGTATCATTAATTTTTATTTTTTAGATTATCTGCAATGGTGAAATGAAGTAACTCAAGATGAGCAAGTTAAAAGTGATACCAGAGAAAAGGTACCATATTTCTAAATATTAATTTTATAGGGAAGTAATACATGATAAAATTACTTGATATTACTTTAACAAATATTTATATTTTATTAATATTTACTGTCTTAAATTAAAGGAGTTAATAAACTAATGATGGAACATATTTGCCTTCATCTGGTTTTTGTATGGTCAATGGCCTAACAGTGATTGTTACAAAAATTGAAAATCAAAATTATAATAATATGGTGTGCAACAAAATTCAAATTTTAGCATACATAATAAAAGTTACTGGAACATAAGTGCTCATTTATTTTCATGTTGTTTGTAGTCACTTTTATGCTCCAGTTGCAAAATTGAGTAGTTGTCACATAGTGTAACCTACAATGTCTAAAACGTGGTACAGTATAATCGCAAAACAGAGTTAATGCTGCTGCTGCTGAGTGCCATCTTTAGTACTTGAGTTACAGTGTGTGGCAAGTTTCAGTTTGTTCAGTGCAGTCATTCTGTTGTGAGCTGTAGTTGAGAGAATGTGTGTTTTAAAGTTTGCCATAAATCACAAATCATGAATAGTGCATTTACATGAAATTTTGTCAGTTTCGTTAGGGTTGTCTGATTGTGGTGCAGATTTTTAATAAATATCATCATGAGAAATGAAGCTTGGGTCTGTGGCTGTGACCCTGAGACTATGGTTCAGAATTGTCAATGGGGACCACCTAGTTTTCTTTGGGCAGAAGAACGGTGTCAGTCAAGTCTTGACATCTAGGGCGAGCTGACTGTATTTTTTGACCTTGCTGGAATTGTATGAACTGAGTTTGTGTCCAGGAACGATAAACTCAGAGTATTATAAAGGCTTTTAGAGTGTTTAAAAACACAATATGCATAGAATATGGCCTGCGAAGTGAAAAGGTGGTTTCACCTTCCATCATGAGTACTGTTTCATGTTACACATTGCTTCTGATAAAGCAGTTTCAATCCAATAAAAATATTACTGTGTGTTCCCAACCACCTATTTACTGGATATGGCTCTGTAAAACTTCTTACTTTTCCCAAGTCAAAACAATCATGAAAGGTAAACATTTTGAATCAGTTCAGCACATTAAGGCAGCCAGAAGGGCACAACTAAAGACTCAAAAATGACTTTCAGAATTACTTCGGAAAATAGGAAGAACAATGGACTATGTGCTTGAAGCAAGGGGGAAGATTTTGAGAGGTAGCAATGAATCAAGTCAGTTATTGATTGTTTGAGACAGGGTCTCACTTTGCAGTTCAGGCTGGCCTTGAATTCACTGTGTAACCTAGGCTTGCCTCAAACTCATGGTAATCCTGCCTCATCCTCCTGAGTGGTGGGATTATACCTGGCAATCTGTCTGTCTGTCTATCTGTCTATCTATCATTTTGAGGTAGAGTCTCACTGTGTTGTTCAGGCCAGTTTTGAACTCATTGTGTAGCCCAGGCTGGCCTTGAACTTGTGGCAGTCCTTCTGCCCTCAGCCTCCCAAGTACTGGGATTACAGGTTTATGCCACCATGCCTAGCTTATGTCTCTTACTGCAATAAATGTTTTAAAATGTAAACATTTACTGTATATTTTGGTCACATGTTTATGTGGTATCTGGCACTTGACAGAAGTTTACCTGACCTCTTGAGTTAAACATACTACAGTGAATGTGACTGATTGATTTGCACTTTTCTTAGCTGTATAGCCTTGCCGGTTGCTAAGCTGTTATGCCTTATATTTTAATATGTAAAATTAATGATAATGATGTTACAAGGTTGCAAAGATTAAGTAGTACCTGGCTGGCTTGCTAAATAAGTGCTTATTATTATTGATGATACTCAAAAGTTTCTACTTTGTTAGCAGTGATGTATTTTAAGTTTAAGGTACACATCTGTACATTTATAGGTATCCTTTACTTAAGTCTGTTACATAATAAGTATGTATGCAGATTATTTAGATAATGTTTATTCTTTAAGTTGCTAAGTTTCCCAATTATTAACTATGTAATATACTATAAGATCTACATTGTTCACATGCTTGTGTAGTTTTAATAGGAAAAGAATTTGACATATTTTGTGTTTTAAGAAGGGACAGCAGCCTGACTTTGGTCAGGTCAAAGGCATTGCACTGTCTAGTTACTAGAGCACTACTTATAAGAATGAGACATTACTTCAGATTTTACAACCTCTGACGCCTAAGGTTGCTTGTGTATTTTCCTTCTCCAAATAGATTTCATTGAATTTTTATTGTTATTTTTGTTGTTTTAGGCCAATTGGTGTTACTGCAGCTGGTCTTCATAAAATAAATACTAATTCAGACATTTCATTTTTCAACTGAAAAATTGTTCATTGAAGTAACTTGAATATAGTAAGCCTGAGATAGATAGAAATGAGTGAAAATCTTTTTTTTTTTGTTTTACAGTAAGTCAGCCTTCTATATCCACTGGTCCACATCAGTTGATTCAACTAATTATGGATTGAAAATATTTGAAAAAAAATGGTATCTGTACTGAACATGTACAAACATTATTCCCTAAAAAAATAGTGTGACAGCTACACTGCATTTACATTGGTATCTTAAGTAATCAGGGGTCTTTTGGGAAGATATATGTCTTTCTCTGCCAATGTTGGGTTACCATGTGGAAGGAGGGAGAGGCCAGTAGGTTACGTGCAGATACTATGCCATTTTATATGAGGGACCTGAGTGTCTGTGGTGTTCTAGAATCCTGCAGCCCTTCCAGCCCACAGATGAAAGCTAAAGCCATTATTTTTCATTTCTGTCTACAAACATGCAAATAGATTGGTAGTGCTAGTAAAAGTAGAACAAAACTTGACCTTCATGTTAGGAAACTCTAGGCAAATCCTTCTGAGCTCTAGATCATATGCATGTTATTTAGGGAGAATTTTTCTAAAAGTTGCGAAAATTGGATTATTAGCCCTAAAGTTACCTACCCTACTTTTTGTGGTGTTTTAAAGTTCTTTTATCATTATATGTTTGTGATACAAAATACTTAATTTGTTTTGAGAATTTGGTAGATATCTTCCTATCTAGTCTTGATCATTTTGATCTTCTTTTCTATCCTCCTCATAGCCACATCTTCAGAAAGGATCCCTCCCTACTTCATACCATCTCTCCTTTATTCGCTCTTTAAATTACTTTTATTTTGAGTTTTTAAAACTCAAAGTAAACCATGTAGTGTTTACGTTTCTATGTCTGATTTATTTCACTTAGCATTATGGCATCATCAAATCTGTATCAGACAGATTTGAAGAAACAGAGAAGCAGATTTAATGCAAGATATAAATACACAAGAATTTATAAGTTTGGCTTACAGTGGCTCCGCATGTAGTCTGGTATGGAAGAGTACAAAAGATCTTCCTGTGTGCTGGAGATCTGAAGGATTTCACTGCAGTGTCCCATCTGAGTCCACATCAGAAGACTGGAAGCCAGAAGACGACCTCCAAGATGAAGGTGAAGACTGGAGCTCCTCTGAAGAATCAGAAGCAAGCCTTCCTTCATTATTTCCCTTTTATACCATTTGGGTGGCAAGCTCATTGATTGCTTTCAATCATTCACAGTAAATCCCAGCGTATCTTCAATAAATCCCCTCAGTCACACCCAGAACTATGCTAAACCAATTTAGTTGGGAATTTCTTACTTAAGTTGACACAGTCAGTTAACTATCTCAAAGACTCATCCATTTTCCTGAGTTACTCAAGTTTATCCTCCGTTGTGGCTTAATAGTACTGTACTCCATTGTGTATATATACTACGTCTTTATCCATTCATTGTTGATTTAGCTTTTATGAATTTCCCTGCTGTAAGCATGAGCATGCATGTATCATATAACTAAAAAATGCTGAACATTTCTTCATGTATTTATTGGTCATTAGTACTTTTAAGAAGTATCTATTCATTCAATTCCCCATGTTTTCATTGGGTCATTTATTTTTTGGGATCTAATTTTTTCAAGTTCTTTATATATTCCTGATACTAGTCTTCTATCAGAGAAGTAGCTGGCATTTTTTTTTTCCTACTCTGAAGGTTATGTCTTCTCTTTTGATTATTTCCTTTGCTGTGCAGACTGAGGGTGGGTCTTCCCTCTCCAGAATATCCATTATTCACACCCAGAAGTATGCTAAACTGGTCAGTTGACTAATGCAGTATCATACCCATAATCTAGTAACTCTGAAAAGCCCCACCTGGGAGTGAATGAGGCTTTGGAGGATGTCTAGATATAAGCCATAACAATCACTTATCTGTATGTTTTCCCATGTCCATTGACCAGGCTGCCTGACCAGGTTTTCCTCATTCCTCTCTTAGACACTGTAGTTGCCTCTTTTTTTATCCCCTTGCCTCAATTCTTGATTCCTTTTAGTCTATTAAAGACTTCACAAGAGCCAGGTGATGTATAAAAATTGTATATGTAAACTTTCATTGTGAGTATGATCCAATAATTTTATTTTGCTCTTAGAAATTGTTTTTTAAAAGCTCCTGGAGCCAGGAATATAGCTCAGCAGCACAAGTGCATGTTTGGCAAGTACAAGGCCCTGAGTTCAGTTCCCAGGACAAAACAACAACAACAACAGCAAACAAAACACCTAAGACTAGGAGAACTAAACAGCCCATGCTTTTGAAATTTGGAAAAATTAAGAAACATTATTTACAAACTCAGGGTACGAAGGTCTGCCAGACACAGCTGACATATTGGATGGAATCACTCAGAAGTGAAACTAAGTAAGTGTAGAGAGGATTCACAAGATCCAAAATAGCAGATCTTACAAAGTTGTGCCTGTACTCACTGGAGGTTTAGGGTGGTTCCTAAATTGTTTGGAATGTTTACATGGCACGCTGTGACTGGTTATACAGGGGTGGGAGCAGAAGCTTTCTTGAAACTAGTTTAGGTTGAGGAACCAGAGCAGTTGGGTAATTCAGACAGTGATAGAAGTAAACAGTATTGAATGCCCTGTATGTCTCTGACAGCAACGGAAAGCCATTGAATTGTAAGACCCAATTAGACTGGAATAC